CCATGAAATGTGACAAATTTCAATGTTTCCCATCAAACGCTAATTACGGTGTGTCTGATGGTGAGGAAGCAGAATTCAACAACTATTATCAATTTACCGCTAGTGGTTTGCTTCGAAGCAGAATGCCACCAACACTCATAAAGCACGTATCATAGCACTTCTCGAGTAATTGCACTTTCGTCAGCGTAACGTTTATTCTTCCTTAGCAACGTTTCCCTAACGTTCATTCATGCGTACCAAAAATAAGCATCGTTCAGGGATACTGCTGCTCATCGCATTATCTGTGTCCGAACAAAGCTGAATATTACGTCGAAGAAAGTTCTCAAATGCCACGCTCATGCACACTCGGTGGCTTCATCACGTGTCCGAGTGGTTACACTTGTCAAAGTGCACACTATGATTTCACAACTGGTCACTGCTGTAAAGGAGGGCATGCAGCAGTCTCAGGTTCGCGAAATCGATCCTTTTCTAAGCGTTTTGAATCAGCTGACATCAGAACGAATCATTTCATGAATTACTAAAGAAATGTTGACTGTGCAATGAAATTCAAATCTTTCTTATTAACGCGTAAAAGCGTTGCGATTATGCATTCGAAACGTGAGCGAATTCGAGCAATTCAACGACAGTCTTGATATAAACCACTTCAGCGAACAAACAGAATTCATTTCTATCATTGCTTTATTTTCACCAACAACTGATCTCCGATGAATCCAATGTGTTTTCAAAATCCATTCAGATGGATGTCCACCAAACGAGTACGCGTTCATGAAGGGTGGTGAGATCGCATCATGCGATCCGTTCAACCACAAGAATTCTCCTTGTCCATCCGGCTATTCATGTCAATGGTCCATAGCCAACCAACGTTATCAATGTTGCGGCTCAGCACCAGTCAATATTCCAAAAAAGAAAACATGTCAGTCATGTAATCGTTCGAACTTGAAAATTGCCAATTCTCTGTTTTACTCTACGAATCATTTTCCTCAAATTCTCGTTTCTCATAAGTACTTCAAGTATAATTTATCATATGATTTATCATCAAACTTCGAACGGATTCTGCTCAGTAGAGCCGTGAGAGGTAGAACTGAAAGCAATAAAGCACCAGAATACTTGTGAAGTGAGGCAGTCTGCTGTTGAACAAGTTCAGCGTTATTTCGCTCTGTTCCAGCTTGAATTTCATGT